ACTTTTGATTTTGTTAATAAAATTTTATACTTTCCATAATTGCATAAAAAAATTAATATAATTAAAAATCTACTTATTTAACAACCTATAATATCCATTAAGTATACTTATTTTAAAATATAATGTACAAGTTTTTTTATATATATATATATATATATATAATCTCTTCTAGAATTATATCAAACCATTTCTTCTTTTTTAATGGATGATAATAAAATGGTAAACCCGTCCGCGATAACGGTATACGCTGGCGGAACACCAGCAAGGGATGATAGATGAGGATGAAAAGGCAGGTGAGTTAGGCCATCGTAATGAATACATTTGAAATTCAGCACGATGGTTTCCAGAAGGGACCACGGGGAGGTAGACTTGATAGGGTATATTGTTAGCAATAGAAGTGGTAGTAGTTATTAACAAAACCTATCAAACTGTTTAGGTAGCTATAAGAGTGAAGGCATAATTCATTTCATTTAAAACAATAAAACTCTCGTCGTAATAACTTATCCCGATAAGACAAAAAAGAAGACTAATAAAAATATAGAACGTTGGAAACATCGCAGAACCAAACTTAACAACGTTTGGCAACAATAATAAAACCTAACAACGCACGTTCGCACTTCGAAAAATAATCAAATATATTCCGAATTGAACGTTCTAGTATATTAGGCAGTGTAGATACGAGCTAACTCTATACGTGACGGTTGGATTGAGGGTAAATGACACAAATTCCCTTAACTCCACTTCGAAAATGGAGAAAACCAATATTTACTTAAGTATTTCTGTTTCGGTACGTATGTGGTGGATATATTACTGAAGGTCGTGAACTTAAAATGCCAGGTCATTTATTATTTTTAAGCGAATTTGAAAATATAGATTTTACATTTTTATATATAATTATATTAAGTGAAATCTTTACCAATTTTAAATTACTTTTTATACAATCAATAGAGCTTCTTCTATATCTATCTTGTATAAATTTTGTCAATCGATTTCAAAAAAGGATGAATTTCTCAATTGTATTTTATTAATGTTTTTTGTTATCTCATAAAAAAATTCTATCTATCTATCTATTTAAGAGCTGCGCTCTTGTCGGTAGAGCTCTTGCCACTCACTACGATTTTCAGCGAGTCTCTTCGCCTCTTGATACGACACGACACCAACTCCTTCCTTGATCTTTTAAAAAATTTAAAAGACAAAAATATAAACCGAACCTCCGTCGTTTATAAAACGATTAAGATTTTTTATCTAAAAGAATATACTTCATATTGGTCGAATGGAAATTTAGCAAAATCAATTCAGCAATTTAGTTAATTCAAAATGACTGGTTTTGCCATAAAGTTCATGTTTTATAAAACACACTCTTTAATTATAATATTTGAAGTACGCACGCATTTTACGCACTTACTTCATTATACTAATAAAACTCACATATTTATGTAAATTTATAGTTCTGTCTCTGTAAATAGTCTTTCTAAATAATAGCTAATATAAATAAAACAAAGTCGCTGTCCACACCTGTCCGTTTCTCCGCTATTTAACAGATTTTAAAACGATTTTTTTCTGTCATTTAACGGAAAATTCGCAGATACAATATAACCAAACTTATAAGCGCGCAAAGCTGTTATATAAAAATAAAATTGTAACCTTTCTTTCTACTTAAAAAAACTGTTGTTTTTGTCCTTTGGTAATCTTTTTTTATATTTTTATAAGTGACACGCATTTTATTGAGAGATTACTTTTAACTTTTATTTAAAATTAATAATAATAACAAAAGTGGAACGGAGCTCTAGTTAATAATAATTTAATTTTTATTGTTTCAAAATGCCTCGATAATAACAAAACCTGCCTCCGGCTTTTCTATTTACTCATGTGGTTGTGGGTACAACTGCAGTAACGAATTCTAAATGTACACACCGTGGATACAACTACACAGGTACGTTCGTGGTAATTGCGGTTTGCATCTCTTCGTAAGCAAATTCAATTATTCAGGACATTATTTCATGAAGAATACGATATTTTAATGCTGTATTGTATAAAATAAAATTACAAAACCAACATAATAAACCAACTGTGTAAATAATAAACCGCCGTTGGTTTCGGCATAGAATAGACTTCCCCTTCCTCACTCATGGGAGTCATAAGAGGCGACTAAAGAATCTTAATAGTTGAGGGATGGGCAGCAGCGTCCCTCTTAAAACTTCACCAGAAGCTTAAGTATGATTTATATACTTATGGAGGATAATGGAATGATAGTGACGGATGATAGATGAAGATGAAAATGCAGGTCAGTTAGGCCATCGTGATGAATACACTTGGAATTCAGCGCGATGGTTTCCAGGGAGAACCACGTGGAGGTCGACCTGACTAAGTGCATTGCGAGCAATGCGACTGGTAGTTTGCATTACTAACAATCTCTCCCCCTCCCGCTTAACTACGGTTATCAATCTGCCTGCCAAGCGTGACAACTACTGGGAAACCCCCCCCCCCCATATGGGGGAGGCCTATGTTCAGCAGTGGACAGTTAAGGGCTGATATGGTGAGGGTGAGGATGATGATGATGATGATGAGTAAACTAAAGTACACATCCCGGAGTTTCTTTCTCACGTAATGTAATAAATTAATCATATGTGTAAATCTGCGAAATTGTCTATCCTTGTACCAAATTTCAGTTAAATTTGTAAATATTTCAGCGTGCCTAATTGAGTTGTTATACAATTAATACAACTATGAAAACCGCATCCAATTTGGTGCAGTAGTTTTTGCGTGATACCGAAACATACACACAAATATACAGATACGAGTATAGACAACATTTGCAATAATTATTATTTTGACTATTACTCTTATCACCTTAGAGTCTAAGGCTTAGACCCCTTCTATCATATTTTCTTAAATGTCTTCCATGTACAGACATTGTCTAGTTACAATATTATTATATTAATAAGGTTATGTATTGTACGACAATTATAAGAAAAAATATTACAATATTCTGTGATATCAGAGGGAGACTTTGTACAAAAGTCGATTGCTTGGGTACCTCTGTCCCATTCGTGTTTCTACCGTGAAGCAGTTGTGTTTGCATGGCTGTGTTTTGGTTTGAAGAGTGGGATATGGCTTGAATTTACAGGGTACAGAGGAATAACATCTGAGTCCTCAGGAATGGCAACGCATGGGGGGTATCATGGGCGAAACAGTATACTCTGTTATCTCCATGGTACTGCTCATGTCTATAGGCGACGATTACCACTATCCATCAGATGAGCCGTCAGCTTGTTTGCCATTCTAAGTTGTATAAAAAAAATACACTTCATCTTTCAGTGACTTCAAATCACGCCCATCCTAACAAAATGCTAATGTTGTTTGTAGAGGACCCAGAATAGGTAATATAAGACGGTCTGTACTTTTTCCTATATCAAAAGGAAAATTTAATAAAAATGAAGCATTTCTTGTGAAAATATATAACCAAACTCCCATTCTAATTCTGTTTTCACGTAACTAAATAATATGAAATATTTAATAAAGTTTATTTTGAAACTTAATAATACATAATCTAGTTATTATTTATTAATATGATATTTAGGAGTGATACGCCCACTCAAAAACTATAATAATAACACACCCAAAGAAATCCTACGTTTATTTTGGATGTTTAGGCAGGATTTGACTAAAAATAGAGTACAATCCACAGAATACATAAATTAAATCGTGGATCATGCCACAATTTAGGGATACAATTTGTTTTGTATAATACACATGTAGCTTAGGTCCTGATTGGTTTATTCCTAGTTCTAACACTAATATTTTCTTTAGCCTTTTAAAATAACATAAATATTTCAATACTAAAAACTATATTTTGTTTAATACCGTTATAATTCTATGAAATTAAATTATTTTAGTAATACATTTGTATTACCGCAAAATAACATTTCTGTGAAATATTTTATAATATAATATTGTTTTTTTAGTTTACGTTCATTTTATTATACAAATCCAAATATCCAAATATAAAGAAAGGAGGTTATGAAACGAGTTTTTTTAATACGTGCTTTGTTTTTTTAATTAAATTTTTAATGATAATATTGTTAATATAAATAAATATAACGACAATTGGTGTTAGTCACTAATTACACAGATTATTTATTAATTGTTTAGATTTGTACAATTTTAATATCCCGTCATTTTCGAAAATCTATCTCGAATCTAAATATTATTGATCTAAGCTGAATTAAAAAAACATTGTTATATAATATATTATGTTCACTCCTAAAAGAACAATCCTAAATCTTCGAGCTTTGATTTAAAAAAAAGAGTTGTTAGTCAAATATCGCCATCTGTCACTGAGATGTTTTGCAACTTTCCAGACTTGCAGGAGCAAGTCTGTTAATAAAATATGAACTGTTTTCAACCGACATCAAATAATTCCAATTGTAAACCGTATAAATATGATATAAATTTGATGGATTTTGTAAAAGTTAAATACCGTATAGATTTCGTTTTGACTAAATATTGTTTTAGTTTAAAAAAAATTCTGGATACACAGAGGCATTTAACATTAATCGTCAAGAATGGCAAAGCATAAGGGGTCTATGAGCATCACAATGTATTGTGTAATTTCTGTGGTACTGTTCATATCTATAGAAGATGCTTACCATTTTCCATCAGAAATTATACTAAATAAAAGCAATATCTCGCGTTTTTTTTTTTTTTTATTTATTTTATATTCTATGAAATCCCCAAAATACCTGAATTATAATTTCGTGCTAGATCTGTCAAAGATTATTTCGCGGTCTAGATTAAATTAACCCAGTAAGATATTAATTAATTATTAAATAGGAGAAGTACATAAAATAATATGATCACGATTATGATTTAATGGGGGGAAATGTTTGACATCTGTCAACTGTCACCGTTATAGTGAATTTAACACTATATGTTAGTGAACATATTATATCTGCCAATGTATGATTTAATAATAATAACTTTTTTTTAATAATTTACAGAGGTTTAGACATCGTATCCATTCGCCAGTTGGTGGTCCTTCTAAGACTTCTCTCGCGACAAGGGCGCACCATCGTTTGCACTATACATCAACCGTCCGCCTCGCTGTTTTCACTTTTCGACCGAGTTTACATACTCGCAAGAGGCCTCTGTTGTTATCAGGTATATAAAACTTTATAAATTTATTTTTAAAATTACCTATTTTCAGGAACACAGGGAGATTTTGTACAACAGTACATCTTCTTGACTATCTCTGTTCCACTTATTTTTCTGCAGTGGATTAATTGTTATTCGGCTGAGACTTGGTTTGAAAGGTGGGATATGGCAGTGAAATTACAGAGTACGGAATCGTAAGACAAAATCTTCAGGAATGGAGCTCAGGAATCCGCATGAAGGGTACCACTGTAACATTCTTTTATAAACTAGCTAACAGCCCACCTAATGGTAAATGGTAACCGTCGCCTATAGACAATAACTACAGCATAGACATTACAAAATATACTGTAGTACTTATTGTACCCGTGATGAGTTTGTTTGCCTTCCTGAAGATTATAGTGTTATACGTCCATATCCTGTAATTTCAATTAAATATTTAAACCAATTTACGACTTTTGAATACTGCATAATTACTGTAAATACGCTTTATGTTTATATTAATAGCAAAAAAGTAACCTATGTCCTTTCCCATTCCACATACCAAATTCCAAAGTGATTGTTAAACTGTTGAGGCGCTAAGAGGTAACAAACAAACTCATTTTCTTATTTATAAAATTAGACTGTGTTTCGGTTTGAAGGGTGGGATATGGCGTGAATTTACAGGGTACAGAGGAATAACACCTGAGTCCTCAAGAATGGCAACGCATGGGGGGTATCATGGGCGAAACAGTATACTCTGATATGTCCATGGTACTGCTCATGTCTATAGGTGACGGTTACCACTTTCCATCATGTGGACCATCAGCTTGTTTTCCATTCTAAGTTGTATCAAAAAAATAGTCAAAATACAAACAGTAAGGATGCAAACGTTTTTAATGATATCATTAATAATTATAACAATGTAATGTAGATAGTTGCCGCATAGAATGTAGTGGTCCTGACATAGAATAAGCCATCTTTTTACCCATGGGTGTTATAGAGACGATTAAGGGAACTTAATATCGTCTAATCGAGAGATGGGCAGTAGCGTCCCTCTTAAAACATCGGCATAAATCAAACTGCAGTTACCAATACGCCTGCCAAGCACGGCAATTACTGGCAAAATGCTCCCAAAGGTAAACTGTCAAAGGGAACTCTCTCATTCCTTATAGCAGTCTATGGGGAGGCCTATATTCAGCAACGAAGAGACAACGGCTGAAATCATGAACGCAGATAATAAGTACCCACATTTATATCCATTGGAGAAAGATGGATGGCAATTGAGTGGCAAAAATATTGATCAGAAATAACATTATGTACCGATATTCACATCGCCTAATGATCTCGATACTCTAAAGGGGTAGAGAAACAAAAACCCGTAAAAAGTAATTTGTGCCTCGTAGTTATGGTGGTCTTTATCGCAAATATCATCAGTATATCGAATAATTCATCGGAATCATAACAACGTGCCTACGTCGGAATATCGGAGTGGAATGTGGCGGAAATTCCGCTACGTGCCGGTGGCGATAAAATCCAAATATTACCGAATACGGACCGCGGAATACGATGTTTTTTTTTTTTCAATTAAACTTAAATGTGTTTCACTGAAATGACCTCGGATCACGAACATTATTATTTTATCTGTACGCTACGTACACAAAATATCGATATTTCCCTTTTATTGTCACTCGTATTTTGTGTGGACGCGGCACACAATTCGAATTTATGAGCACTTTCATACGTACCGTGATAAAATTCAATGATCGTGTTACCTAAATAAATAGAATAAAAAAGCAAACATTAATACAAACATAATGTAATAATAATTAAAATTTATGTAATCTAGATTAAATGATAAGGTTTATGACATACTAGCTTTTACCTACGACTTCGTCCACGTGACCGATGTAAAAGGTAGCCTATATTCTTGTCTATCCCATATAGTATAACTAGTAACGCTTTGAGATAACAAACAAACGAACTAAGTCACTTTCACATTTATAATATTAGTAAGGATTAGTAATTATTGCATTTTCATTATTATAGTATTATATGATAATTGAATATTTGTAATAATATCATGTCTCTTTTACTGTTTGTCTGTGTGTATGTTTGCTCCGGCATAACGCAAAAACTACTAAACCAAATTGAATGCGACACTTACAGTTGTTGTTGTACAAATTGCACGCGCAAACGAAGTAGCAAATAAACAGCTAGACCACAACATACGACGTATGAAAAAGTTGCATAAAGACATGAGAGGTGGTCAGAATCGTTCTTTGTAGGAAACTGTAATGCTCACCCCCAGGTTATAATAATATTATATAAATATCTTTACTAATATTATAAATGTAAAAATGTCTTTGTTTGTTGCCTTATAGTACCTTGACAGCTTAACTATTCACTTTAAAATTTGATATACACATACTACTCGTATATGGAATGGAGAAGGATAGAGGCTACCATTTATCCCGATCAATAAACATATCTTGGCCACGCGGACATGTACAAGTTAGTCTAAAATAAATCGGTATTCCTATAAAAAATTTTAGTCCTCCGGAATTGCAATGTATGGGACATCACAATTTTTCTTAATTGTACTCTTCATGCTCTATAGGCAATAATTACCACTTTCCACCAGGTAGGCCGTCAGCCTATTTACCATTATAAATTGATTAAAAAAGTGTAAATTTATATTATATTTATATAAAGATAAGTATATTGTATTGAATAATACAATTGGATATTGTATTGGATAATACTCCTGTCTAATCATTTATAAAATCAATTTAAAAAAATCCTTATTCCCCTAATCGCTATTATGTTTAGTAATAATATTTATTTAATCAAACAACATAAGGCCCATTTTGTTAGTTATAATTGACTTAACCTATGTTATAAGCGGTCATGACGCTCTTGCATTGATAACATTCTAGGATAGGACAGTCCATTTTACCAGCAATTGTCTTTAGAACACTGTTTGTTTATAAAGTAATTAGATTTCAATTGAATTGGGTTTAAGTACCTATTCTAAAAAAATAATTATAACATCAAAAAAATTTACCTACGTATCTATACAATATTTTCTTTCTCTTAAACTGTATACAACTATTAAAACATTCTACCTGGAAAGTACCTATGCCAGTTTGAGTGCATTCAACTATCATTTTATTAGTGCATACATTTCATAACAATTGCAAATTTTAATTAAAAATCCAGCTCTCTCCGTCCATCTAAATTCATACTAACTAATATTTGCAATTTGAATACAGTTAGGTTTTAGTCTGAAAGCAATGACCACAATTATACTTCAGTATTGCACACAGACTGCATATAACCAGCTGAAACTAAGTAGTTCAGTACTTTTTAATTAAATTATTTTAATACGCATTAACATTTACTATATAAATTTAGAGACTCATTCATTTTTAGGTTCTAATAAAATATTTAAACATACCTTTTACCTCCTTTACTTAATTAAATATGTTAATATTTACTTAAGTTATCGAGTTAAACATTTAAACAATACTACTTCCAAACTTAATAATATTAAGAATAAATACGTACTAAATTCCATGATGCAAGTTTCTCACTAACAAATTAAAAGTACTGACAAATCGAACTCTTAGATTCTGCGCATATGTCAAAACAAAGTTCGAAAACTGTTAACTTCGCGCATAAAACAAAAAGTTAGGTAACATGACTTTTCGTTTTTTTATACAACTTTGAATAGCAAACTGGTAGCGCATTTCATGGAAAATAGTGACGGTGGAATAGACATTATATGGATGGACATCATAAAATAAACTAACGCCTACCAAGGTTTAAAGGATAATAATGTTATGGTATAGGCACCAGTAAGAGATATTTGGTGAGAATGAAAAGGCAGGTCAGTTAGCCCATCGTGACGAATTCAACGATAAATTAATCAAGATGGTTTCCAGGAGAAACCGCGTGGATGTCGACCTGATAAAGTATATCGATGAGAATGGGGACTAGCATTCCCATTATTAACTATCCCTTCCCCCCAGACCAAGGTGTTACGACTTTATACCCTGTAATTTCACCGCTATATCCCCCCTTCCTTACTTGTAAGTGTTATGAGAAATGACTAAAGTGAGAAAGGTTAAGAAGAAGTAAGATGTGGAAACTTAAATATCAAGGGTTAACCTCTTAAAACACTACCAAAAGTCTAACTGCAATTGTCAAGCGTCGCAACTACTGGAATACAGCTATGCAAGTACAACTACATGACTACAAAAACATGTGTGTGACAGACATACTCATGCAGACGTCTTTTATACAGTCTTCTATACTTTCATTTACATATTTCACGCAATATGTAACGATGCACGAAATTTTAATGATATCAACTATACCGTCACTAAAGTAAATGTGTTGTAAAAGTTTACGCAAATACAAAGTGCATTCAACTCCAAGCTACCTATAATTTTAAGGTAATTTACAGAGTAGCGGTTATTCACTCCATCCACGACCGCTGAATAACCTGACACTCGCATAAATATAATTTATTCTTACTTAATACAGTGCAACTTTTGCCGGTTTTCGAGTCTGTAGGTACACACGTAATATGTACCTAAGTGCTTACTAGCTTGAACTCAACTGCTTTATTTTACACGTTCTTTATTCCTCTGCAAAGTACACAGCAAGAGTTTAGATGCTTTATATTTACTTTTTGAACTGTTTTAATTTTTCTTCTCTATATAAACGCTGAATTCAAGGTATTATGTAGTTTATTAACTACTAGTGATCCAGCCCGACTTCGCATGGAAAATAGGATTGTCGAAAATATTGTATAGTCCGTATTACTTACTGATAATGTAACTTTTTATTGGTGAAAGAATTTTTAAAACCGGTTAAGTAGTTTTTGAGTTTATCCATTACAAACAAATAACCTAACACTTTTCTCTTTATAAATTTTTTATACATATTAAGTAATAACTTTCCAGTTAATTTTTTTTTATACTTATAAAATATCGATCATTTTAAGAAATATCGAAGATACT